AAAAAAAAAAAAAAATACAGGGTCTTGCTCTGTCAGGCTGGAGTGCAGTGGTATGATCACAGCTTACTGTAACCTCAAATCCCTGGGCTCAACCAATTTTCCTCTCTCATTGTCCCAAGTAGGTGGGACTACAGGAGCATGCCACAATACCTGATTAATTAAAAAAAAATTGTAAAGGTGGGATCTTGTTATGTTGTTCAGGTGGGTCTCAAATTCCTAGGCTCACGCCTATGGTTTATCCTATAAGGGTACATGTAAATCTTTCTAAATGTAGAATATAAATGTCTTAACACAATAATTAAGAAAATGACATGAAGGCTATGTTAACCAGATGGATGAAAGTATTTCAAATTGTATACAGAAATAATACACTGTACCCCATGATAGTATTAATGTACACAGCTATGATTTAACAAAAAATAAAAAAAAAATTCCTGAGCTCAAGCAATCTTCCCACCTCGGCCTCCTAAAATGCTGGGATTATAGGTGTGAGTTACTGTGCCTAACCTAGTTTATTGTTTTATTTTTATTTTATCTATTTACTTATTTTTGAGACAGAGCCTCAAGCTATCGCCCTGGGTAGAGTGCTGGGGCACCACAGCTCATAGCAACCTCCAACTCCTGGGTTTAAGTGATTCTCTTGCCTCAGTCTCCCAAGTAGCTGGGACTACAGGCACCTGCCACAATGTATGGCTATTTTTGGGTTGTAGTTGTCATTGTTTGGCAAGCCCAGGCTGGATTTGAACTGGCCAGCTCTGGTGTATGTGGCTGGTGCCTTAGCTGCTTGAGCTACGGGTGCTGAGCCTAGTTTATTGTTTTAAATTCACCCCTCTTTAGACAGTAATCAAAACCTCGTAATTTAGATTGTAAAAGTTTATTGATATGGTCACAACACAAATAGCCAAACATTTGGTTATCTTTGCCACTATAATCTGTCATTTTGAATAGATCTTAAAAACGCATAGAAATAATATTTAAACCATTATTAGAAAAGTAAATTAATACTCTTACTTAAGGCACTTCAGATAAAAGCTGATTTCAAAATTTCCACAGAAATAACACTAATTCAGTGGAGTATATCTGCTTTCCAGAGATTTAGCCAAAACAGTACATTTCACCTTATAGAAGAAGAATATGCTCTTAAAAGGAGACAAATACAAGAAACTGTCATTTTATTAATGCTTATGACAAACTATCTGGAGCTAGAAAGATTACATGGCAGTAGTATTCCCCTGGTCGATCCACAAATCAGGGCATCTTCATACAAGTCTCATAAGAATCACAGCATAATTTTATTTGACCTGAGACAAGTACAGAACAGCAGATAAGGAATACAGAATCAAACAACGTACAGGGGATTAATTACAAAAAAGTGGCTCCATTAAATAGTAAAGGGTGAACTATATTCCCCCACCCACCAAATGTAATATGAAAAACCCAAATAAAACATTTCTTCTGAGGCAATTATATTCATATCTTCTTTTGTAAGCCTCTATTATACTAAGATTTCTAAACCACATGGGAGGATTATTAGATGGCAATCATCTAAAGGCAGTCACTTTCTTTCTTTTTGTTTTTTTTGAGACAGGGTCTCCCTTGGCCACCCTTGGTAGAGTGCCATAGGCATGAGCCACCATGCCCGGCTTTAATGTAATGCTTCTAAGATTGATTTAAAATTACTTTTTCAGAATTACAATTCTCATAATTCCATAATAGTGGCATTTTAGGTTATTCTCTATAGCTATAGGGAAGGTTACAGTTAGATGTAATGATACCATGAAAACATTTTCAAAGAAATTTGGTTAGCACATATGGTTATTTCCATTGAAAAAGACAAAACTCAAACAAAACTTCAAATTTTTACTTTTTATCTCCACTTAAAGGAATATAATAAAGGCTAAAATAACAGCAGCAACAACAGAAAGAACAGCTTTAAAGAAACGCAATTTCTATATGTAGGCAGCAAAGCAATATTTCATGATTATCTTTTTCCATTCCAAGGGAGTATTTTCCTAACACACAACTGAGCCTATTTTTCTCTTAAGTACAAATGAAATGAGTGACAATCTCTAATTTACAGAAACATTTTTGATCACTTATAAGTTACACTGATTTTAGCATTAAGCTATATCTTTATTAGAAATGGGTCACCTTAAATAAAACTGAGGAGGTGAAATGAATCTGAAATATTTTCAAATACAAGGTAGTTACTACCACACTCATACAGAAATAGTAATCCTATATTTAGAATATTTTTTAACATCTACAACTATAAATAAGCACAAATAGCCCTATTTCAGTAGGAAAAACAATGCAGGAGGAGAGAAGGAAGATGGTGTTTTTAAAGGTTAGATGTGTACACTGAAGAATGGTGGTGTTTTCAGAAGACCATATAATACATATAATTTATCTACCTAAAATGAAAGATGTGTAAAGTATACACATCCATGGAAAGATAGAAAAGCTAAAGAATAGATTCCTGATGCAATTATCTATAATAGACATATGTGGCAACACCTGGTCAGGATTTTCTTTCCCCATCTTTGGATAATATGATATAAAATCAGATGACTAAAAGTTAACTAAAGCACTTTTGAGCTTTGTTCTAATTTCAAAAAGTAGTAGTTTTAAAATTTTAATAATGTACTTATTTCTACTAAATTAAATGTTCCATAAAGTTCACTGGGAAGAGAAAGTTAAAAAGGCAATCATTTCCAAATACTTCATAATTTTTACAGGAAATTGCTTGTTAAGGCACTAGATATCTTCTTTGGTTAAATTATTAACTATTTAAATCACTTAAAAAAAGAGGTAATACAAATTACAGAAGTTGTATTCTTCTTTTCAAATACAACGGGATCTTTTTTAACTCATCAGAAAGCTGAAACAAAAACATACAGCAATATATTAGTCTTTAAATGAAGAGTGGGCTTTATTGTTAATACATATATAGTATCTTGATTTTAACAGATCAAAGAGTATGTATGATAATCTTTGAGTATCAATAATAAAAAGTGAGAAACACTGAGAGATCAGATGGTCTTATGATACAGATATAACCCAAAGTTAAAATATATCCTAAATAGAGATGCTAATTAATCAATAAATCAATCCTCGTAATGAAATCATTAACAGAAGTCCCAGCAAAATTTCCATTGCATACAAGTTAGTATTCTATAAAAGAGAAATTATTATAAAACACTCATATATAGAAGAATAAAAGTATATTATAAAGTTGGAAGCTTGTAAGTCAAGAAATGCCACAATTTAATGAATGGAGTAGGAAGTTGTTCAAAATAATCTACTAAAATCTTGTGTTAAAAACAACATGAAGGATGAATTTACATCTCAAAAATATCAGTTGATACATATTATTGTCAGTGTTTATAATCCTTTATATGACAGGACAATGTTATATTAAAAATAGGAATTAGTAGCCGCATGTGGTGACTCATGCCTGTAATCTTAGCACTGTGGGAGGCTGAGGTGGGTGGATCACTTAAACTCTGGCGTTCCAGACCAGCCTGAGCGACAGTGAGACCCCATCTCTACTAAAAATAGAAAAAAACTAGCTGGGTGTGATGGCATATGCCTACAGTACCAGCTACACAGGAGGCTGAGGCAAGAGGATCACTTGAGCCCAAGAGTTTGAGGTTAATGTGAGCCATGCTGATACCATGATACTCTACCCAGGGTTACCGAGTGAGATTCTGTCTCAAAAAAAAAAAAAAAATAGAAATTAGGTTGGGAATGGTGGCTTATACCTGTAATCCTAGTACTTCTGGGAGGCTAAGGTGAGAGAATTGCTTGAGTTCATGAGTTCAAAACCAGCCTGAGCAAGAGCAAGTTCCCTTCTCTACCAAAAACATAAAAAATTTAGCCAGTAGTGGTGGTGCATGCCTGTATAGTCCCAGTTATTCAGGAGGCTGAGGCAAGAAGAAAGTTTAAGCCCAGAAATTTGAGGTTGCACTGAACTATGATGACACCACTGCATTCACCTGGAGTGACAAAGCAAGACTGTCTCAGGAAAAAACAAAAGGGATTATAGCAATTGATACTTAGATAATAAAACTAACTTAGAACATCCACCACTATGTAGGTACAATTCTCTTGGCTATTAACAGAATAAAAGAACCTATAACCAAGATAACAATTTCCTTCCCTAAGCCTTAGGGTTCTTTTTTATTTTGGGGGACAGAGTCCTACTCTGTCACCTTGGGTAGAGTGCCATGGTGTCACAGTCCACAGAAACTGCAACCTCAGTCTTTTGGGCTCAAGTGATCCTCTTGCCTTAGCCTCCTGCATAGCTGGGATTATAGGCACCTGCCACAAAGCCTGGCTAATTTTCCACTTTTAGTAGAAATGGGTCTCACTCTTGTTCAGGCTGGTTTTGACTCCTGAGCTAAAGCAATCCACCTAACTTAGCCTCCCAGAGTGCTAGGATTATAGGTGTGAGCCACTGTGCCTGGCAGCCTTAGGGTGCCTTATGAACATTTTAAGCTGAGACCTTTTTAAAAAAAAAAAAAATTATAACTCAATGTTTTTTATTCTTTTTAAGCTGACACTTTCTTAAACATTCCTTACACTGTCTACAAACTGGATTCTAATCAGATGTGCTGTTTATACCATCTAAACAGCCTTTAAAAGTAGAGGTGAGGCGCTTTTAAGAAGATTAAAAAATATATTTTTTCCTCAAGAGGTGGTATACAGATAAGGAACTATACAAATAGATACGGTATAAAATATTCTATCATTATGTTATAGATTTCTAGATTAAATTAGCTGATGACAGAATAAACTTGATACACATCCCTGAGAAATCACATACTAATATGACCCATTACACCATTATTATCTTAATTTTATATACAACATATCTAAATTAAATCCTATCTCTTTCCTTTAGAAGGTAGAATAATTTTGAATCAAAGCAAAGAATAAGAAAATATTATAAAGCAACATCAACTCTAATTATTACAAGCATAGGTAATTGCTATATAAATAAGAATCATACCTGTATGGGTATCCATGATATTTAGATCTGAAAATAGAGAGCATCCAACTGAAGAATAGTATGACGAGTCCAATACCAGCCACACACATTACTATAGAAAAACAAAAGGAGAGTAAAATGAGCATGCTGGATATAAAAAATAACCAGGGTATAAATCTTAGTCTACCCTTCCAGAGTGAAAAGGAAGGGCTACAAATTACTGATCTCAACTTTCCAACAATTCTCATTCCCATTTTTTAATCTTCAGGAATTTTTTCTTCCTCTTTAATTTGCTCTACTACAATAGCGTGACTTCATTTACCTATTTATGCAATGCAATTAAATTGTATGAAATAATGAATTCCTTTAAAGTCATCATACTCAAAAATTTGGTGTTAGAAACAATGTCTTCCAAGAAAATCACTCATTTATTAAACTTTTAGACCTTTAATAGTGGCCTTATTATTGATAAACAATGACTTAGATATCTAATAACATTATTGTAATAGCCTCACTTGAAAGTACTTCATGCACAGGTAACTGTACAGCCTTATATGAAGAACTCATTCAACATGGTTTCCTCATTCAAATAGTGAGGGGAAAAAAATCTGTCTCCACTAACTTCACATGCTCTGGATTACAATAGCAATTACTGATCTCAACTACATATACTGACCACACAATGTTCAAGTATGGATTCCCATTAACTTGAATGTCTTTGTGTCTGTGAACTAATACTGGCTAAGAAATACCAAAACAAGGGCTAGACATGGTGGCTCATGCCTGCAATACTTTGGGGGCCAAGTCAGGAGGATGGCTTAAGTATAGGAGTTCCAGATCAGCCACAGCAACATAGTGAGACCCTGGATCTCTAAAAAGTAAAAAAAAAAAAGTTAGCTGGAGCTAGGTGTGGTAGCTCACACCTGTAATACGAGTACTCTGTGAGGCTCAGGCAGGAGTATTACTTGAGCTCAGAAGTTTGAGACCAGCCTGAGCAAGAGTGAGACCTCCTCTCCAAAATAGAAAAACCTTAGCTGGGTGTGGTGGCATAGACAGACATATAGTCCCAGCTGCTTAGGAGGTGGAGGCAAGAGCATGCTTGAGCTCAGCACTTTGAGGCCGTAGTGAACTATAATCATGCCCTTGTACACTAGCCAGAGCAACAGAGGGAGATTCATGAAAAAATGAACGGTGGGCATGATTGAGCTGCTTGAGCCCATGAACTGCTTGAGTCTAGGAGTTTGAGGCTGCAGTGAGACTGCAGTGAGCTGTGATCGTGACACTGAACTCCACAATAAGACCCTGCTCAAAACAAACAAGTAATACAAAAAAACCAGAGATGGGGATAACGGAAAGCATGTGTATTACAGCAATGGAAGTTCTAAGGAAATATACTTAGTGACCAATATTAAAAACAAATTTTAGTTTTATTATACTTAGGGAACAATTCCTTTTTTTTTTTTCGTTTCTAATTTCCATATGATATGATTAGGGCCTAAAATGTAGATGTTAGAAAAACGTATAGAAAATTAGTGGTTTTTTTCTCTAAGAAAACATATACATATATGTATATACAGCATCACCCTGTATATATTTGGATACTACTTTTCCCACATTATCTCAAAGTGCTTAGTGCAGTTCCTGGTACATGCTAAAAAAATGTTTATTATTATTATCACTTTTTTATCATTTCATTGGGTTTAGCCATAGTTAAAATTGTGACTATTTTAATATATGTCACAAAAATGTTTTACAATTCATGCCAGCAGTGTACTTATATGGCCTTTTCCCAATAATGAATACATAAATGGTAAACTTTTAAAAAGTCAGGCAGTGATAAGATGTATACTGGCTGGATAAATAGATGTATATACTAGTTCTTTTCTTCTAATATGCAAAGTTTCATTTTAATTTGGCAAAATAAATATTTTTCTAAATCGAAGTCCAGTATCTTCATCATTTTTCTAGAAGATAAAGTAAATATTACATTTCATTCAGGTGGGTTAATTTTGATGACATTGAAAACTTTAAATATAAAAGGAAAACTTCAACTTATAAAATGTCTGTGCTAACCGGCAGGGCACGGAGGTTCATGCCTGTAATCCTAGCACTCTGGGAGGCTGAGGCTGGTGGACTGCCTGAGCTCACAGATTCGAGACCAGCCTGAACAAGAGTGAGACTCTGTCTCTAAAAATAACCAGGTGGTGTGGTGGGCACCTGTAGTCCCAGCTACTCAGAAAATCAATCACCTGAGCCCAAGAGTTTGAGGTTGCTGTGAGGTATGATACCACGGTACTCTACCAAAGATGATAAAGTGAGACTTGGTCTCAAAAAAAAAGAAAGAAAGTCTGTGCTAACCAATAAGAGAAGAATTCAGACTCTAAGTTAATGACAAAAGACAAAAAAAGATGGAAGGGAAAATACGAACACAAGTGACTAATAACCATTTAGAAAAATATCCAACCTTATAATAATAAAAGAAATACAAAAAAATAATCTATTTCTCCCTTATCTGATTAGCAGGTATACACACACACACACACACACACACACACACACGTGTGTTTTTATATATATATATATGAGATTTTATAATATATAAAATATATATATATATGAGATTATCTAATGCTGATAAAGTTACAGTGGAACATGCATTTTTTTTTTTTTTTTGAGACAGAGCCTCAAGCTGTCACCCTGGATAGAGTGCCATGGCATCTCAGCTCACAGTAACCTCTAACTCCTGGGTTCAAGCAATTTTCCTGCCTCCGCCTCCCAAGTAGGTGGGATTATAGGCACCTACACAACGCCTGGCTATTTTTTGGTTGCAGCTGCCATTATTGTTTGGCGGTCCCAGGCTGGATTCAAACCTGCCAGCTCAGGTGTATGTGGCTGGCACCTTAGCCACTTGAGCCACAGGTGCTGAGCCAGGAACATGCATTCTTAAATACTACTAGTAGGAATCTAAATTATAAATTTTGTGGAAAGAATTTGGGATGATTAATACATTATTTTTTTTGAGACAGAGTCTCACTTTGTCGCCCTTGGTAGAGTGCCGTGCTGTGACAGCTCACAGCATCCTCCAACTCCCAGGCTCAGGTGATTCTCTTGCCTCAGCCTCCTGAGTAGCTGGGACTACAGGCACCCGCCACAATGCCCAGCTATTTTTTGTTGCAGTTTGGCTGGGGCCAGCCTCGGTATATGGGACTGGTGCCCTACTCACTGAGCCACAGGCACCATGGAGATGATTAATTTAAAACATCAGGAGAACTGAAAATATGCAGACATAGGACCATACAGTTATTCTACTTCTAGGAAGCTACTGTAAGGAAATAATACAAGAAGATGATGAAGCTTAGCATATCATCATAGTCAGCGAAGAAGTGTTTATTATGATGAAAGAACAAACCTAAATATTTAACAAAATCAGAATGGTTAAATTAGAATATAGGATATACATTTAAAAATATATAGAAAAATATTTCTTAAATCTAGTTAAAAAGGTATTATAAACATTCAAAATCTTATATATATACTTAAAAATTATTTACCTATCATATTTGAATCATCTTCATTTTAAAAATTTTTAGTTTTGGCTCGGCGCCTGCGGCTCAAGTGGCTAAGGTGCCAGCCACATACACCTGAGCTGGTGGGTTCGAATCCAGCCTGGGCTCGCCAAACAATAATGATGACTGCAACCAAAAAATAGCTGGGTGTTGTGCCGGGCACCTGTAGTCCCAGCTACTTGGGAGGTGGAGGCAGGAGAATCGCTTGAACCCAGGAATTTGAGGTTGCTGTCAGTTGTGATGCCACAGCACTCTACCCAGGGTGACAGCTTGAGGCTCTGTCTAAAAAAACAAAAATTAGTTTTAGGCTCAGCGCCTGCAGCTCAGTGGCTAGGGTGCGAGCCACATACACTGGAGCTGGCAGGTTGGAATCCAGCCCGAGTCTGCCAAACAACAATGACAACTACAACCAAAAAATAGCCAGGCATTGTGGTGGGCACCTGTAGTCCCAGCTACTTGGGAGGCTGAGGGAAGAGAATCACTTAAGCCCAAGAGTTTGAAGTTGCTGTGAGCTGTGACACCACAGCACTCTACCAAGGGCAACACAGTCAAGCTGTCTCAAAAAATAAATAAAAAATGTTGTGGCTTGGAGCCTGTGGCTCAAGTGGCTAAGGCGCCAGCCACATACACCTAAGGTGGCAGGTTCGAATCCAGCCCAGGCCTGCCAAACAGCAATGATGGTTGCAACCAAAAAATAGCTGGGCGTTGTGGTGGGTGCCTGTGGTCCCAGCTACTGGGGAGGTGGAGGCAGGAGACTCACTTGAACCTAGGAGTTGGAGGTTGCTGTGAGCTATGATGCTACAGCACTCTACCCAGGGGGATAGCTTGAGTCTCCGTCTCAAAAAAAAAAAATGTTGTTACAAATGGAAGGAAATATATTATGAAATTATTCGTTTTTTTAGTGGTAGAATAAGGGGTCAATATTCCCTCAAATGTTTCACACTTTTATTTTTTCCACATTTTCTATAATGTACATACATTGCTTTTATAACAGTAAAGTGGTAAAATAACACACTTAGTCTATAACTAAGGGGAAACATGACTAAGGGATCATTCGTTTTTCTATATTTAAGGCAGAATGGTAATATTTTGGCATATGACATAACTTACTCTTTCGTTTTCCAATATCCATGTCAGAAGTAGCTGCTTCACATAAAAGTACCATTCCTAAGGTAACTCCGCCATCTTAGAAAAATTAGTTAAGGAGGAATTCACACAAACACAAAAGACATACTACCTTATTATTCCTAGTTTCTCATGAAGAAAATAAAAATGAACACATAGGCTCGGCGCTTGTGGCTCAAGTGGCTAAGGCACCAGCCACATACACCTAAGGTGGCAAGTTCGAATCCAGCCCAGGCCCGCCAAAAAAACAACAATGACGGCTGCAACCAAAGAATAGCCTGGCGCTGTGGCGGGTGCCTGTGGTCCCAGCTACTTGGGAGGCTGAGGCAGGAGACTCGCTTGAGCCCAGGAGTTGGAGGTTGCTGTGAGCTGTGATGCCATGGCACTCTACCCAGGGGGATAGCTTGAGGCTCTGTCTCAAAAAAAAAAAAAATGAACACACAAATCTGTAGCTCAAATGGCTAAGGCACCAGCCACATACATCAGAGCTGGCGGGTTCGAATCCAGCCCAGGCCTACCAAACAACAATGACAACTACAACCAAAAAATAGCCAGGCATTGTGGTAGGCACCTGTAGTCCCAGCTACTTGGGAGGCTGAGGCAAGAGAATTGCTTAAGCCCAAGAGTTGGAGGTTGCTGTGAGCTGTGCTGCCATGGCATTCTATCCAGGGCGACAGCTTGAGGCTCTGTCTCAACAACAAGAACATCTTCCATTCAATTATAAAATAGTAACTAAAATAAGAAATCTTGGGGCAGTGTCTGTGGCTCAAAGGAGTAAGACGCTGGCCCCCATATGCCGGAGGTGGTGGGTTCAAACCCAACCCAGGCCAAAAACTGCAAAAAAAAGAAATCTTGTATCTACACAGCATAATTATTTACTATGAAGATATAATTTAAAAATTAAGGTTAGAAGGTTACTTAACTTGTACAAACAAAAACCGATATTTTAAGAAAATGCCCCACTATAACTTACAGACAAAATGTGAGTTTTCCTGAAATTGTACTTTGAGGCAGGGAACGGTGGCTTATGCCTGTAATCCCAGCCCTTTAACACTTGAAGCCTGGAGCTTAAGACCAGGCTAGGCAACATAGCAAGACCATGTCTGTAAAAATAAAAAATAATTTAAAAGTTAGATGTATGAGGTGGCAAGTGCTTGTAGTCCCAGCTACTCTGGAGAATGAGGTAGAAAGATCACATGAGTTCAGAAGTTGGAGGCTATAGTGAGCTAGGATCACCCTCACTGTACTCTAGCCTGGGCAACAGATATTCTGTTCAAAGAAAAATTATACTGGATATTCAGGAATTACCCTGACCCCATACACATTTAAAATATCAAGTAACCATTTTGAATAATATTTCACTCCCTTGAACTATGTACCATTCTAGAGAGACTGACTTTTGTTTTTGAAAATAACAAAATTTTACCAGGGGCCAGGCATGGTGGCTCATGTTTGTAATCCTAGCACTCTAGGAGGCTTAGGCAGGAGGTTAGCTTGATCCCAGGAGTTTGAGGTTGCTGTGAGCTAGGCTGACACCATGGCATTCTAGCCTGGGGCAAGAGAGTGAGACTGTTGCAAAAATATATATTTTTAAAACAGGATTTCAACAACTTTTTTTTTTTTTTTAGAGAGACAGAGTCTTACTTCGTTGCCTTTGGTAGAGTGCTGTGGCTCTTGACTCAGCCTCCTGAGTGGCTGGGACTACAGGCGCCTGCCACAATGCCCAGCTATTTTTTGTTGTTGTTGTGGTTTGGCAGGGGCTGGGTTTGAACCCACCACCCTTATAGGCTGGCGGGCTACTCACTGAGCCATAGGCGTCACCCAACTTTTTTTTTTTTCAGACAGTCTCACTTTGTCGCCCTCAGTAGAGTGTGCAACAACCTCAAACTCCTGGTCTTAAGTGATTCTCTTGCCTCGGCCTCCCAAGTAGCTGGGACTATAGGCGCCTGCCACAACGACTGGCTATTTTGTTGTTGTTGTTGTTGTAGTTGTCATTGTTGTTTGGCAGGCCCTGGCTGGGTTTAAACCTGCCAGCCCCATTGTATGTGGCCGGTCCTCTAGCCGTTGGGTATAGGCACTAAGCCAAAAAGTAACTTTAAAAGCACAAATTACTACTGAGCTGCCTAATTTTATCCTATTTTAATAAAAAAGAAAATTCCTACCTGTGTCACATGTAGCTACATAATTGCAAAGCCTAGCTTATAACAACCTCAGGCTCTTGGGTTCCAGTGATCCTCCTGCCTCAGCCTCTTGAGTAGCTGGGACTACAGGCATCCACTACAGCTCAGCTAATTTTTCTATTTTTAGTAGAGAGTGGCTCTTGCTCTTACTTAGGCTGGTCTGCAACTCCTGAACTCAAGGGATCCTCTGCTTTGGCCTGCAAGAGGGCTAAGATTGATGATAGGAGTAAGCCCCTGCATCTGGCCAAAAAAGCAAATTGAATTTTAAACCAAACTGAGTATGTTTTAATAGAAAAGAGGTTTACTCTGCAGCTTAGTGAATACTAATAGCAGTAAAAAATTCTCTAATTATGCACACACATATGCACATTGTATGCTACCACGTGAGGTTATAATTAAGCAGAAAGCAAAAAATAGGTGTTTAGATGAGGCCTGAATTTATAATTGGCTCTGTAATTTTTGACTATTAATCCTTTCTTTTCTTTTCTTTTTTTGAGACAAAGGTTCAAGCTGTCGCCCTGGGTAGAGTGCTGTAGCATCATATCTCACAGCAACCTCAATTCCTGGGTTTAAGCAATTTCTTGCCTCAGCCTCCCAAGTAGCTAGGACTACAGGTGTTTGCCACAATGCTCAGCCATTTTTTGGCTGTAGTTGTCATTGTTGTTTGGCAGGTCCAAGCTGGATTTGAACCTGCCAGCTCTGGTGTATGTGGCTGGCACCTTAGGCATTTGAGCTATAGGTACCCAGCCACTATTCATCCTTTCATCACCATCTTACACCCTCTTTTCAACAACCTCTTGTATTTTTAGTTGTTCAGCCAACTCTCTTCTCCTGCAGTTTTTTCTTACTGAGATTCTTTTTTTTTTTTTTTAATTGAGACAGAGTCTTACTTTGTCACCCTTGGTAGAGTATCATATCTCACAGCAACCAAAAACTCTTGAGCTAAAGATATTCTCTAGCCTCAGACTCCCCAGTAGCTGGGACTATAGGCAACTACCACAACACCTGGCTATTTTTTTTTTTTTTTTTTCTTCTTTTTTTTTTTTTTGGTTTAGAAGGCCAGAGCCAGGCTCAAACCCACCAGCCCTAGAACATGTGGCTGGCACCTTAACCACTGAGCTATGGACGCCCAGCCCTGAGGTTCTTTGTAACTACGTTCATGCAAAGACTGATCATTTCTATAGGTTTTGGTTATTGGATACTCTCTGATAATATTTAACACTTGTTCTAGGGGGTGGCACCTGTAGCTTGGTGGGTAGGGTGCTGGCCACATACACTGGGCTGGGGGGTTGGAACCCAGCTACTAGGGAGGCTGAGGCAAGACAATCACTTAAGCCCAAGAGTTTGAAGTTGCTGTGAGCTGTGATACAGCACTCTACTAAGGGTGACACAGTGAGACTCTGTCTCACAAAGAAAAAAAAAAAAACACTTGTTCTGGGGACTGTGTGCCTTTGTATCATAGTCCGTATACTTTGGCTTTTTTCTTTAATGTTACATATACTATTCTCCTTTTTTTTTTTTTTTTTTTTGAGACAGAGCCACAAGCTGTCACCCTGGGTACAGTGCTGTGGCATCACAGCTCACAGCAACCTCCAACTCCTGGGCTCAAGCAAG